TGTAGCATTACACGCACACTTAAATTTGACTTTAATGCTGGAATTTAGATTCCAGTAAGTCTCATTTATCTCACACACACATTCACAGATTTACTAAGCCCCTATCGGCATGTTTGTGTGAATATGGTAACGCATGAATCATACAGCTGAATGTGATAAAGAGCTTTTTCGGGAAAAGCGTGGAGAAGCGGGAAGGCAGGAAAGCAGGCGGTGTGTGAGTGTGAGAGAAACAGAGTGGGAGGGAAACGGTCAGAGAAAACTGTGCTGGTGCCAGTCTCTGATATCCTCCTGCTCGTGCTCTTTTCCAGGTCATTGTGTGGATTTATTTCTGGGAGCTAAAATCCCAAAATAGTCACTAGAATTTGGTTAAATTTGACAAAACGTATAAATATTTTACTTATATATTTTATTCAGCAGATCAGATCAATATGTAATTTTATTCAATAAGAATGCATGAAATTAATCAAAAGTGACCGTGAAGGCATTTATAAGGTTATAAAGGATTTCTGTTTCAAATAAATGCTGTTCTTTTGAACTGTTGATTCATTAAAGAATCCTGAATAAATTTATCAGTTTCTGCCAAAAAAAAAAAAGCACAACTGTTTCCATCATTGATAATAATAAGAAATGTTTCTTAATCATCAAATCATCATATTGGAATGATTTCTGAAGGATCATGTGATGCTGTAGACGGGGTACATTTTAAAACATATTCAAACATTTTATTTATTTTAAATAGCTTTTTTTAACATCTGTATCTTGTAAATATGGAGTAATTATAATTAATTCCATATGAAAAACTGTCTAGTCTTGTTCCAATTTAGACACCTAAGTGAATTTTGAGTGTGTGTGTGTGTGTGTGTGTGTGTGTTGAGCATACATTCAGTGTGAATATGTAGGTGTATGTTTGCAGTTTGCTGTTTCCCACAGTCTTGATCAAAACACTCACTGGAGGTGGATTATGCTGGTATTTTTGGTATTGCATAAGAATATATATGTAGCAAATTATATTTGAAAGCAACGCCCACACACACACACTCACAGTCTTTAAAACCAGCATAGTACCATCATCTATAATGTGTGTCATTTTCTTTGCCTCTAGAAGCAGACAGTTTCGCCTCTCCTTTCCTCTTTTCCATAATTGTGTGGTTTTCTCTTTGCGTAGATCTGTCTCTGTCATTCCTCTCTCTTCTCTCTAAAAACAAGGCAGAACTTCATATTTTATTTATGTTCCTTAGTCTGTCTGATTCTAATCCACTGCTTGCTTTTTTTTTTCTTTTTTTTTTGGCAGCAATAGAAAGATTTTTGGAAGTTGACCCAGATAAAGGAAAACATTTGACAGCCCTGCCAAGTCTCTGGGCTTGGCTTTCACAACGACTCCAAACCAGTTTGCTCCGGTTGGGTTGCCAAAGCAGGGGGCGGGGTAGAAACCCGGTGTGTGTATGTGTGTATGTGCATATTTCATGAAATTATTAGGGAAAATGAGGGAGTGTGAGTGGGATTTTTTTTATTATATAACACAGAGACACAGCTTAGCTTTGTGTCGGTTTCTGTGCTTAGATCAGTGCTGCTGTGTTCAGGGTGGAGAGGATCAGACGGGGAAAGAATCTCATTTCTAGAACGCCTCTATAACCCATGATTCTCTAGTGTGGCTCAAAAATTACATATTTACAAATAATGCAATAGGTAGCTGGTTTTTAATGAGTAGTTCACCACCAAAAAATTGTGAAAAGTTCCTTTTTTCACTCTCTTGTCATTCCAAATCTGTATGACTTTGTTTTTGTGTGGAACAAAACAAAAATGTTTAGCCGAATTGTCACGCTGCACTTTTCCATACAATGGAAATGAATTGGCATGAGGGCTGTCAACATTAAACACATTTTTAAAAAAGGCATAAAAGTGCTCCAAATGAGTTTTGGGATATTCAAATGATTTGTGTGACAAACAGGCCAAAATTTAAATCATTATTCACTGATAATCTTCATTCACATATGACCATCATGTTTCACATTGCTTCCATACCAGTGTTATTTTAGTATTATTTATATGCTATTATTTATCTGAATATATATCTGTTTCACTTTATTTATTTTATTTTTTTAAGTTTTTGTAATTGTAGTATTTCAACTTATTTCAGTTAGTTGCCAAGGCAACTTTTCCTATTTTAATTAGTTTTTTCATCAAATATTTACTATAACTATAAACTATAAATAGTTTTAATTTTTAAAACTTAATTAATACAAATATAATTTTTGGTTTTGGTGACAAGCTTCCACAGCACAAACAGAATGACAGTGACAAGAAACATATATTAAAAAAATTAAAATAGGATAAGTAAATAGGAAATAATATACAATTTTTTTTTTAATTAAATAAATACACAATATACAAAGTAGACAATAGATGGTATTTGTGTGTACAGGTGTATTATGTACAAATGCAAGGAAATGTAAATAGAGGTATGTGTGTTAAATAAATAAAATTATAGATAATGTTGTGTATTGCACGTTTACTGCCAAGTTAACTGTTCATGAGATGGATTGCCTGAGGGAAGAAACTGTTTTTATGCCAGGCTGTTCTGGTGCTCAGTGCTCTGTAGTGCCGACCAGACGGCAACAGTTCAAAGAGGAAGTGGCCTGGGTGTGAGGGGTCCAGAATGATTTTGCCTGCTCTTTCACTCACTCTGGATGAGTGCAGTTCTTGGAGAGTGTGGAGGGTTGTGCCAGTGATTCGCTCAGCAGTCTGAACTATCCACTGCAATCTTCTAAGGTCCGATTTGGTAGCTGAGCTGAACCAGACAGTTATAGAAGTGCAGAGGATGGATTCAGTGGCTGCATATTAGAACTGTTTCAGCAGCTTCTGTGGCAGGTTGAACTTCCTCAGCTGGCGAAGGAAATACAGCCTCTGCTGGGCCTTCTTGACAATGGAGTCTATGTGAATGTCCCACTTCAGGTCCTGAGAGATAGTGGTGCCCAGGAACCTGAATGACTCCACTGCAGTCACAGTGCTGTCCATAATGGTGAGTGGAGGGAGAGCAGGGGGGTTCCTCCTGAAGTCCACTATCATCGCCACAGTTTTGAGCGTGTTCAGCTATAGGTTGTTATAACTGCACCATACAGCCAGCTCTTTAACCCCCTTTCTGCAAGCAGACTCGTCACCGTCCTGTATGAGGCTGATAAGTGTGGTGTCGTCTGCAAACTTCAGGAGCTTGACAGAGGGGTCTTTAGAGGTGCAGTTGTTGGTGTAGAGGGAGAAGAGCAGTGGGGTGAGCACACACCCCTGAGGGGCATCCCTGGGCCTGATGGTGAGGGTCCTAGTTGTGAGTTTCCCCAGCCTCACTAGCTGCTGCCTGTCTGTCAGGAAACTGGTGATCCACTGATAGATGGAGGTGGGCACAGAGAGCTGAGTTAATTTGGACAGGAGGAGGTTTGGGATGATGGTGTTGAAGGCCGAGCTGAAGTCCGCAAACAGGATCCTCACATAAGTCTCTAGTCTGTCCATATGTTGTAGGATATAATGCAGTCCCATGTTGACTACATCGCCCACAGACCTGTTTGCTCGGTAAGCAAACTGCAGGGAGTCCAGCAAGGGTCCAGTGATGTCCTTCAGGTGGGCAGCACCAGTCTTGATGCTCTTAACGCTCAATATGTCCGCTCTATCGAAGGAAGCCCCGCCTTCTGAATAAAAGAGCCAATCGCTAATCGGTAAAGTCAGCGCATCACTGCAGCTGCCGTTAGAAGTCCCGGTTGCTATAGAAACAGTCAGTGTTTTGCATGCGCACTGGCTGGTCTAGCCTGAAAAATAAGCTTTTTTAACGCTATTGGAGCATAAGAAACAACATTTATGAGACAGTTGTTGTCAGATTTCATTGGCGATTTCAAATATGAAATTTAATCATAAGCTTGGTGAACAGTTTTGGAGAATTTGATGTTTTCCATTCAAAGAGATAGTAGGAGCTGCACTTTCGTGCCAGAGAGGCGTTTCAAAGAGTGAAATGACTTGCCTTAAAGGGACTTTGCCGAAGCAGCCATACACGGAGCCATCTTGATTTACACTTTTATTTAACAGTAACAACATGGTTCCATACTGATCGCAGTTAGCATCAAACTTGTCATGACAAGTTTTAGTGTGCCACATTAAATTATATGCAAATGTACAAATAAACAAATTTATATGACATTTTTGGAGAATGAGCCCTTTGGACTAGAAGCAAAATCATTTCCATTTGACAAGAGATGAATTTATAACATAACATTTGTTTAATATTGTGTTTTAGTGTTTGTTGAATCAACATGCCACTTTCGCATTCACATCAGTCCCATCGTGTACAGTAATCTTATTTAAACATTTCTAATTTGCATAAATATTTAAATGTAATGTCTGCTAACACTCACTCACTCACTCACTCTCCTCTCTCTCTGATCTCCCACAATCCCTCCCTTTTCCCCCTCTTTCACTGCAATCCAATATAACAGCCATCAGTCATGTACATGCAGTATAAATACACAGCTCAAAGCTGAATCTCACCTGTGAGCAAGACACTAAACAGTTAACAGAGCATTTCATTCAGCCACACACTAAATCCTGGTGTTGATTTACAAACACGAGTAAACTGTCTCCCACACACATGCTGAATAAATACAGTTGATAATGGAGCTGTGCTGTGTGGGCATATACCAGAGGCCGAGCACTAGTGTTTATTACTGCACTGGAATTTTCCATTACCCGTGATGTGTTCAGCGCAGTAGGGAGCTGCGATACGGCCGAGAGAAGTGTTTACTGTGGGACTCGGCCTGCCGAACAGAGAAAACAGGCACTCCGGCTGAGAGAGAAAGAGAGAAAGGCCCGGGCGGCCCACCTAACAGACGTGTGCTGGTTTATGTTGATGTGAGAGTGTGCTAAACATCTGGCTCTGCTTGACATAATTGGTTTTAGTTGGTCCAGGTCTTAAGATGTCAGTGATTGGTAAACCTCATTTCTCGCTCTCTCTCTTTTAACAGGAGGCCTTCTGGTCTTGCTGATAAAGAAGTGATGGCCGCCACCGTCCTGACCATACTGTCCACCAGCCCGTTGGTGCTCAACCCTTCCTCCAGTGCCTCAGGTTAAAAGTCGCTCTACTTCTCGCTTCCCTGTTACCTGATAGATCCCAGAGCGGTCAGGTTGAATGACGACTTGTCAAACAAGCTCTAAACCTCCATAAGTGCCCCGAAAGGACTCCCTCTTTCTCCATTTTTATTTGTTTTACATAGAAAATGGCTTTAATGAAGAAATTTTTTCAGCAAGAATGCATTAAATTGATCAGAAGTGACAGTAAATACATTTGTAATGTTTCAAAAGACTTCTATTGCAAATAAATGCTGTTCTTTTGAACTTACTATTCATCAAAGAATCCTGAAAAAAAAATTTATCACGGTTTCCACAAAAAAAAAAACAGCACAATTGTTTTTCTTGATTATCAAATCAGCATCTTGGAATGATTTCTGAAGGATCATGTGACACTGAAGACTGGAGTAATGATGCTGAAAATTCAGCTTTACCATCACAGGAATAAATTACAGTAAAAAAAACAGTCATTTTTAAAAGTACTTTATAAAAAAATTATAAGTTTTAATTGTATAACTTACCATGTTAGCCAAGGTTTCTTGCACCAAAAATGGTCATAAATTAAAAATGGTCAATTAAAAAGGCTATTTTTTTCTGCTGTACCCTTAAGACTTCTAGATGTAAATGACCTAAATGATTGGCTAATTTCAGCATACCAGCATTGTTCACACTATCGTTCATTAGACTAGCTGAATAATCATTGATATGTAAATATGGGTGGTCATATTTGAATGAGCTCATGGCTGTGACGTCTTAGTCACCATGATTTCTGAGCAGTTTTTGCAGATTTGTTTCACAGAATCGTCTGTGTAGACATACAATAAAGTTTTGTATAAATATTAGCATATGTCGACATGGTCATCAGGCTCTTATTTCAAAAGAGCAAGAAAAATTCTGTTTTCCATTTTACGTCTCTTTTAGCATGGTGAAAGGAAACCCAGATTTACATTTGAATGGGTTTGTAAGGGCAGTGACTGGTCTTTCCTTCAGCTCACGGCTTCCAAAACCAAAAGTATGTTCACAGAGTTTCAGAAGAAATGACAATAGACATTGTGCAGCAACAGAAGTGCTTGAACTCTCTCACTGATGTTTTATTAGACTGAATCAGGCACAGATTTTGTCCTTAAAGGAATAGTTTACCCAAAAATGAAAATGATTCTGTCATTACTGACCCTCATGTCGTTCCAAACCCATATCACATGAAAGAAGATATTTTAAGGAATGTAGTGGTTGCTGTTTTCCATGCTATTAGAATAAATGGGTACTAAAGGGTCAGTGAGTCAAACTCGAGATTCAAATCAAATTCATTTTGGTGAACTGGATCAACTGATTCGTTGAGCAGAACTATTCCTTAAGAAGTGTAACCAAAGATTGTTCTTTTTAAAGAGCAGGACTTTTAATGTTAACTGAACTGTGGTGAAAGCGTTCTTGTATTGCATTTGTTCTGACCTTTTCCGAGATTCTAGAACAAAATGAAAAGTGAGAGTTTTCTTAAGCTGTCCCAACACAGCTCCTTATATTCGTGTCTTGGAGGGAACATACTGTTTTAATGGATCCTCTGAACTCTTGCCATGGAGGATTTCCCTCTCGTTTGTTCCATCAGTTATTGAGTAACTCAGATCATCAGCTGTGTGATGTGATCTTAGCCGACCTTCTTGGATTTTATATTGTGCTATTTTAGTTGGCCAAATTTACATTAATGATGAATTGTGGATGACAGATTTATTTATTATTATATAAGGGATACTGGAGTGTCATTGAGTAATGCTGTATGACAACTTTGTTCTAAAGTTTGGAGTCAGATTTAATTTTATATCTTTGAATGAAATTAATACTTTATTTTCAGAAAGGATGCATTAAATCGATCAAAAGTGACAGTAAAATATTTATAATGTTACAGAAGATTGTGCTTTTTGAACTTCCTGTTCATCAAAGAAACCTGAAAAAAAAGTATCACCATTTCCACAAAAATATTAAGCGGCATAACCCTTTTCAACATAACAATGTTGTTATTAACAATAATAACTTCATAAGAAATGTTTCTTGAACAGCAAATAAGCATATTAGCATGATTTCTGAAGGATCATGTGACACTGAAGACTGGAGCAATGACGCTGAAAATTCAGCTTTGCATCACAGGAATAAATGTTAAAATATATTCAGATAGAAAACATTTTAAATTGTAATAATATTTCACAGTATTACTGCTTTTACTGTATTTTATCAATGAAATGAAGCCTTGGTGAGCATAAGCAATTTCTTTATAAACCTTACAGACTCCAGTAGTTTAAATAATATTTGTCACTTGACCATATACTTCAAAAGGGCCTGTCATAAACCACTGGCTATAAGAGACAGAGAAAAAAAAATCTCTGATCAGAATTTTAAAAACTGATCAGCTAATAGTGATTTGTCTTCATATGCTGGAAATAAACACTCCTGCAAATACTGTTAGAAAATGTTGAAAATAGATTAACTACATTAAAATATTCTGAATGTTAAATCTTTCCCTGGACGGGTTATAGAAATGTGAATTTTAGCATGTTAAATCTTTGAAATGACATAGCGCATTAGTAAACTGTTTCTCATGTTCACATTTGTACAAGTCACATTTCAATGTCCCTTCGGTATAGATGCATTCAGTTGATAGCAGACATCCTGAAATAATATTATATCTCATTACTCTTGCCTAGAGGAAAACTTAAGTAAAAAGTGGCACAGCTTTCCCCACTCTCCATTACTATTTAATCAAGGACATTGGCCTCGGGATTGGATTTTATGTGTTTTTCATTTGTGCGTTGTCATTTTTTAATATCTTTAATGCAAACACATTGCCCTTCTGGGAAATTAAAGACTTATTGTACAGTATCAACGTGGCTGCACAGAGAACAGTCTCTTTCCTCCCCAATAGAAAATAGACAACGAAAGAATAAATATGGGCTGCTGGTAGCTCAGTAGTTTTGTTAGCCTAATGACTAATGGCATGAGGTCTGGTCTTCATTGCAGCTTATTCTTGCCAAGAACTGCCCACTTAGACAGGAGAAGACTGTCTGACGGACTTGTAAAGCGACCAACCACAGTCTGGGTTTATCTGAAATAGATTTTACCACAATAAAACACTGATGTGCATGGGAAAAAAAATCTTAACTGGTGCGGCAGTCCTCATGTAGGATTGAGGCAGAAACTGTAGGGCTACTTAGATTACTTAGATTAAGTCTTTCCTGATGCTATTGTGCCCTTGAGCCGAGCACTTAACCTCTAAATCATGCCACTCCAGGGAGTGTTTAATTAGCGTACTGTAAGTCACTTTGAATGAAAAACATCTGCTAAACGGCAAGTGCGCACATGCTGGAAGAACCCAGACCATAATCCTAAGAGGTCAAGTGTCATGAAATGGGGGTGATTTGCCTGTTTGGTGTCATGTAAGGTCACCACAGTTTATACTGTTGCTTAAGGGTGTGGTTAAGCCTAGAGATTTAGTTAAGTTTGTTCAAGGTTATTATCGCTTAACTTTAGCTGGACAATGTGTCCTATTCTTCTGCATAGCTTAAGTGTACATAGCTGTCAACAACATCTTGTAACACATAACACATCTTCAGATTTGTGTTTACAACCTTTATTGTTTTATTTTATAATTATTTTAGAAGTACAGTTATGGCTGCTGATATGGTATTGAACATAATGCACTAAAATCATTTTTTTTTTTTAACTGAAAATAATTTTTAGCCAAAAACAAAACTAAAAATAAAGTTTATAATAATTAATAAATCAATCAATCAATCAATCAATCAATCAAATAAAAACTGAGTTGTATATTATCATTTAAAGTGCCCCTATTAGGGGTTATGAAAGGTTCATATTTTGGTTTTGGGAGTCCCCAACAACAGGTTGACATGCATGCAAGGTCAAAAAACACTTTCATTGTCTTATAATATGCATTTATTTTTTACCTTACTTGCTCAACGACTCCCAAATGATTAGTTTAATGATTCATTTTTCCAAACCCCTCCTTTGCGTGACGCTAATCTGCGGTGATTGGTCCGATTGGTCTTATTTTCATTTAATCTTGCCTGTAATGCCTGATAAAGCAGCGTTTGTGAGCGCAGTGCTGCTTTGTGTACAGCATTACCAGGGAAACCGCTATTTTTACCACTCCAAAAGCTGCACCTAGTGGCAAAGAATGAATTTGCATTTTCATTCAGACCAACGAAAAGACCAACAAGTGGACGGGCAATATGCTAATGTTTCATGTTGACGTCAACATGAAACGGCTTGGGATTCGTTTAAAAAAAACGACTCGTTTCAATGATTCAGAGTCGACTCTTTCTTTTGAGAGACAATAACTTCATACACAGTGCACTTTCAGGTTTAAAACTTTGCAGGATGTTTTCATTCCCTTAGAGCTGTGTTACACACTGAACGGTACATTTCAAAAATCCATAATAGGGGCACTTTAAATTGCACATAAGGTTGTTTATAGATTGACTTTTTAAAGTGGCTGTAACTGAAAAAAAAAAGAGCCAAATATTTTCTGTAGCTGAAATTTCAGTCCTTCACTAATTAAACACAAGCTTTTTCTTGAATATTGAGATTTTGACAACACTTTACAATATGGTTAAAAAAAAAAGTAACATCAGTCAATCATTTATTATTCTAAATTCATGTTAATTTCTTACATTTACTAATACCTTTTTAACATTGAGTGGTTACCATTATTGTATGTATTATGAACAGCATGATTTAATAATGAACTATAGTGTATTTATAAATTAACATTAATCTAGTTTAATAAATGCTACGTAAAATGTTAGTCATTGTTAGTTCATGATAGTAGCGAAACTGAACCTTGTGTTACCATGATTTGTAGTGATGCGAATCATTTAGCGCATTTTTATTTTCTTCTCTTTCTCTTTTCTTCTTTTATTTCAACTATTACATTTATTATAGATCTATTGACAAATGAATCTAATGTAAACATTTACTGAAGCAGTTACATAAGTTGTTCATTTCTGCATTTATTAGAGTGCACACTAGGTCATGTTTTGCAATTTATAAAACATTTATTTGACTAAAAATGCCACTGGCAACAAAACAAGATGTGAAACAAATTTCTATCATACATTACTGAAATAATACAATGGCTGTACAGGTTTGAGTGCTGCTGTGTTATTTTATCTTCACCCAGTGTTGCGTGCCATCAGGTGTGTGTGTGTGTGTGTGTGTGTGTGTGTGTGTGTGTGTGTGTGTGGGTGTGTGTGTGTGTGTGTGTGTTGGTGTGTTCTCACCAACTCCAATGTGACTAAACAGTATGTAAGGGATCATGTACAGCCAAGTGGTTGTTATCGCAGAATAAACCCTGAAAGAGTGATCAGGATCTTGTATCACCCTGAAGGGGTTTATCCTGCGATAACAACTGCCTGAATGTTTATTATCCTGCTTATTCCACGGCGACTTGCCACATAAGTAAATAAATAGACACCAATATTGATTTGAGTTGAAATATTTAATTAGCTCTTTAAACGCAAAGCTTCCGCAAAGGAAAACTGTTCCTAACAAACGGCTTTGAGTCTAGACAATGGTTTCATTTTACAGTCAATAACTGCAGCAGTTGTGTTTGAATGAACCAAGAGAGAAGCACCAGCCTCAAAATGCCCGGATGAGCGGTGTGTTATTTGGCGTTTCTAATGACGATGGTTGTTATTGGGGAATAACACACTTTGAAATGATGCTCCTGACCAAGTATTCCAGAGCGCGCAGTGTAATAAACAAGTGTAAAATATGCACAAACAAATCAGCACTTCTCACACCGAGTCTAATGCCAAATTTCCTGCATTCTGTGAAAGAAAGGATATCTGATTCTGAATGAATTCTTTACCATGCATTCTTTCACAGAAATTGACCTAGCCTCCGAATAAGAAATGTTGTGTCCCATATGATGCACTATATACTGTGCACTTATTCTATATCCTATGTACTCAACCGTCTAGTGCAGGGCTCCTCAAATCTTGCCCTGGAGGGCCAATGCGCTACAGAGTTTAGCTCCAACCCTGATCAAACTCACCTACCTGTGATTTTCTAAGGATCCTGAAGACACTGATTAGCATGTTCAGGTGTGTTTGATTAAGGTTAGAGCTAAACTGTGCAGGAAAGTGGATACCGTGGGCCAGATTTGAGGATCCCTGGTCTAGTGTATGAATTTTATAAGGTTATTTTGTCATTTACCATCAGAGTCTGATGGCTCCTCCTCCTCCAATACTTAGTCTAATTAAAGCAGTTGACGGCACGAAGTGTGGACATTCCACACTTCCTTTTTCAGTTAATTAAATGTATTATCCAGGCATTTGAAGTGCAATTTGGAGTTTTCAGAGTGAACAAACTTATTACACTATTTATACAAAAAATCGGTTTCGAACAGTTTCCAACTTCGATCCTGGGGAGCCCTGTGGCGGTTTCTCAATATGCGTTCTTGTCTGTACTTGTGGACTTGTGAAACGTCATCAGTCGTCGCCCAAGTACTGTTCCAATTTAAAGTTCACATCTAGCCAAGTACAGTTCAAATCCCCGGATGTGTTCTTGCTCCGCCCCTTTTATCAAGGATGCATCCAGTGGTGACTTGTGCGAACTTGAGGCAGCCAGGTGTCCCAGAATGTATTTCACACCAACCAGAGAGCATTAATGGCGGAGGAGAAAACCCGCTTAATTTTCAAAATATTACTGTTATTGTGTCATGAAATGCAGTTCTAAGAGTATTTCAGGTGAGAATGTAGTTGTTTAAAACTCAAATCTGCGGTTTAATGATAAAGATAGCGCCTATTTGAAGGTAGGCTATCAAGGTTGGAGCAGAACACTAAGGACTGTGACTCTCCAGGACTGAAGTTGGCCACCCCTGGAATAGTGCATAAATTGGGATGCACCAAAAGTGGTCAATCATAGTAGTACATGGTTGTACTGATAGCATTTTGACTTTAGTAAGATACCAGCCTCTGGAACTTTGGTATCATTATTAATTGGCCATTGGTTTGAATATGCCTGTTTTATTTTTATTTGTTTATTTTGTTTTAATTAATTAATTTATTTATTTATTTGTTTATTTTTTGTTTTCAAGTTCTGTTTTTTCTTGCTTCTGTTTTAAATCCTTGTTTTCTTATGGTTTTGATTTGTTTTGCTTTTTTTGCTTGTTTTGTTTTGCTTTGTTTTATGTCTTGTTTTTTGTTTTATTTTGTTCTGTTTTTTTTTGTTTTCTTTTGGTTTTGATTTGTTTTGCTTTTTTGTTTTGTTCTGTTTTTTTGTTTGCTTGCTTTGTTTTTTATGTCTTTTGTTTTGTTCTGTTTTTTGTTTTGCTTTGTTTTGTTGTCTTTTGCTTTGTCTTTCTTAGTTTTTTTTGTCTTTTGTTTTTATTTTTTGTTCTGTTTTTTTCTGTTCTGTTCTGAATCTGTGGATGTGTTTGCTGTGGACGTCTACTTCATGCCTGCAGTGTGCTGGGCTCTGGGATAGGTGAAAGTGCATACTGCAAGCAATAGCCTAACTGGCCTGTCAAACTGTCAAAGGTCTTTTCCTGCTTTAAATCATTGTGTTCTGTCTTTAGGTGCAGATTTGGCTGGAAAGGGCTGGAAGGAGAGCCTGTCTGCCAGCTACAGCAGCTCTACTAGTGGGAACTGGAGCTGGGACGCCAGCGACCAATCGGTGCCCTCCACGCCGTCCCCACCCCTCTCTAATGATCCCGGCAAGAGCTTCCTGCTTTCCTCCCAGAGTGATGACAACATTGAGGAAACCGAGAGTACACACTTCCTGTTCGAGGACCCCATCCCCCGAAAAAGAAAGGTAGGGGGTCAGGTCATGGCAAATGAGAAAACTGAGAGAAAACAGATCTGCTGGTTAGTTTTTGAGCCCAAAAGTACCTTGACTGTTCAATGAATTTGCCCGTCTTTGCCTTCAAAAGAGCTCTAATAAACACATCAGCTTGGCTCTGGCCCAATGAGTCTTGTCACCCTCGCATCACAGAAAGTGATGGCATGTTTTCGCTCTCTCTCTTTCATTGTCCCTTCTTCTATTTCTTTTCTGGGTTTTTTTGTTTGTTTTTTTTGTAGTGTGGAATGACTCCAGAATGTGAATATGGTTTCAGTGTCAGGAAGCCATTAGCCTTTCTGCTCGTTCACCTTGTTTTGGGAGAGGCCGAGGATGTGTGTGTGTGTGTGTGTGTGTGTGTGTGTGGATGAGGGGCGGTTTCCGTTATAGATCCACTCGGGCTTATCCTTTCACAGCGCTACAAATGCTGTAACACACGTTTTTCACGCAATTCCCAATTGCACAATATTGTATACATGGAACCTGTCATGACTACACGCCTCTCCCTGAAGAAAGGAGAAAAGTGAAATATGTTTACTCTGATGTTTTTTTTATTTTTTATTGTTTTTATTTCTTAATTCTGATTTTGCAATTCCAGATATTGGACAGAGAAATGAATAAGGCAGAAACAGGACAGAAAAACTTTCCTTAAGTGCTATCAGACATTTAAAAGGAATCTTCTTTCTGGGTTCAGGACAACGTAAGCTGTATTGACAGCATCTGTGGATGTTATTTAGCACAGAAAATATTTTTGGGGTTGCCAAGATTTTTTAATGTTTATTAAAGAAGTCTCTTATGCTCACCAAGGCTTCATCTCTTTTGATGATTTAAAAAAAATACTGTAAAAACAGTTACATTTAGATTTTTTTTTTATTTTTTACTTTTAACAATTTATACAAAAATCACATTTATAGCAAGGCACTTACTATGGTAATCAGTGGATGTCATTGCACTGGAATAAATGTTTACATCAAGACTTAGACTTGTTAATATTGTTAATATAAGATTGCTTACTGACTTTATCTGTGCACAGTAGGGCTGCACGATAAATCGCATGCGATATTTAATGCGCAGCAGGTGATGGAGATTTACCGCTGATTACAGAACCGGCTTTCTGACAAGATGCGTATTAAATATCGCATGCGATTTATCGTGCAGCCCTAGTGCACAGTTATATCCAGTCTTTCAATTCCTGTCATGAACATGCAAAGTTTGTAAACCAAGTAACTTTGCAAGGTATGCCAAGGTATCATCACTCAAGTCACAGGAATTACATCATAACACATAACTGGAAGTTGATCCATCTAGAACAGTAGTTCCACTGATAAACACAAGATTTATCATTCTTTAAATGATAGATACTAGATTTATCGCACAACATTATTTTCAGCTTCAAAACTCAAATAACACACGTTTTGTAGAAAACACTTGATATAATTAAAGGTGCTGTATGTAATTTTGACCGTATTAAAGCATAATAATAATACCATATTATGTTAGCAGATATTTAGGAAGAAACTGAAAAAGCGTAGCGCCAGACACAAGTCCAATTAAAAAAAGATACATACACTTCTGTGCGTAAATCCAAAAATCACTCAAAAGACAAATAAGATTTGCACACGAAAAATAGGCCACAAATCTTAAAAATGTATTGTCCAGAGGCCACAAATAATATATATACATTTATTTTTTTTGAGCAGATATTTAGAAACATGCTAAGTTCACATGTTTCTTTTAAAAACAATGCTGACTCCGCCCACTGCCAGTTGACCCAATAGTATTTCAACACCCTGGGTTGCCAGTTGGTGCAAAGCACAGTGTAGTGCAGCCATGGAAGCCAAATCCAGAGATCGCAGAATCTACTCAACCTAAAATGCCTCTGCATCCATCTAAAAATCCCCATGACCAGAGGCATGTTAAAACGTGGATAAATCAACTAATCAACTTACAGTGTAAGGCTCATTGCCTTCCATTGTCAGTTTTGCTCGTTCCTGTTGCATGTCCTCAATCTGGCAACTCACGTGAGCGTCGAGCCTGATGAGGAGGGGGCGAAAGAAACAACTTCCTCCAATATTTTTAATTTGGGATGCAGTATCTATTTCAACCACTAGCTGTTTTACACCTTTGAGTTCTGCTGTGAAACCTTCCAAAATGCCTTGCCATTTGGACTTCTATTAAAACCTAAAGGATGTGTACTGCATTGCTAATGGATTTCTATCAACAACAAAAAAATCTATCTCTTAAAAGATCCTATTGGGATCAATTAAAAAAGCACTTAGATCTTACCAAACAGATTTTTTTAATGTTTAATTTTAAAAGAATCCTTAGGGGATTCTTATTTGATCCCATTAGGATCGTTTCAGATTATGTTAGAAACTCCATTAGCCACCCTGTACACAGCTAGATATTTAGTCGAAATGTTGAAGAAAGAATTCAAAAAATAGATTGCAGAATTGTTCGTTTCTTGCTTGTGCGCATTACATAATGTTTAATATCGTTTGGGCTCATTTTTTGGCTCTTCTGTGTGAGTACACAGACAGATGGATGTGTCTCATACTGCTAGGTCTTGTCTTAGGCAACAGTACTGGCTACCTCTACTATTATTTCAGTTCACCAGAGGCCTCCCTGCATACCTATATGTCCTGCTATAGCCCATAAAAACCACTTTGCATGAAGGAGATGAGAAAAAGAAACAAAGTTCTTTGAAGTGAACCAAGCCAAATTCTGAGCAGCTGGGTGAAGTGTAACACAAAAGAACTGGCTGTTCATTCATAAAGACAGATGGAAACAGACACTTCCAGTCCCGCTCTACCAATTATCTGGCTTGCTTTTTGAGTCTGTTTTGATTAAAGTGTCCCTATTACACATTTTCGAATATTGCCTTTCATGTAGTGTGTAATGTAGCTGTATGTGAATTTAAACGATCTGCAAAGTTGTAAAGCCGAAAGTGCACGATAAATAAAATTATTGTCTCCCAAATGAAAGAATCGACTCTGAACAGCCTAAACGAGTCGTCAGTAATTCGAATCTCACTCCCGTGACGGACGTCTACACGTCACTGGGTAACACCTTTGCACAATGCCCGCCTATGTTCTCCGTTTGCTGGCCGCGAACAACTTGACCCGCCCTCAAACACTGCAGCTTGTTCATGTCATGTCGCGAAGACGCCGTGTCCTACACTGTGAAAGTAAATTAGTTTTATTTTCACTTCCGAAAGATGAGGCTGCAAAGAATCAGTGGTTAAAATTCATTTTTTCCACTGTACCACAGCAGTACAACCCCCAATCTTTTTTTGTGTTCCCGTCATTTTACTGACTGCTTCTCTAATCTTTGGGAGTTCAATGTGGGATTCACAAAACGCTCGCTCTTGAAAGATGGCTCAGTACCCAGTTTATTTGGACCAGCTGACTCCACTGAATCACAACCTGTAAGAATGATAAATAACAGATGTTTATATTTTCTATCAAACGTTCAAAATACAGAACTATGGCAATGGGCGTTTAGTTTCAGACACGCGTTGTACACGGTAGACCAATCACAACAGACTGGGCCATCTGACCAATCAGAGCAGAGTATGCTCACGGAAAGGAGGGGTTTAGAGAGACTGAATCTTGAACTGCTTCGAACGAATCGTTGGGAAATGAGGTGAAATTAAATGCCTATTTTGAGGGAAAAAAGCATTTTTTTGACCTTGCATGCATGTAAACCTATTGTAGGAGACTCCCAAAACAATATTAGGAACCTTAAAAATGGCATAATAGGGGCACTTTAATGGTTGTCACATGTTTTCTGACGAGGTTTTGATGGAAAATGTTTCATAGGCTTATGTGATCTGTGAAAGGGTTAATATCATCGGCCTTGAGAACAGCAGGAGTATTTGCTTGTTTTTGTATGTGTGTGAGCAGACACACACCCACTCATTGACTCTGACAAGAGCAGTGAACAGGTCCGGACATGTTTCACGTTTCAGAGTTAATGTGCTCATTTTTCTCACAAATCAAGATCCTGGTTGGGTTTATCCAAAGAAATGAGGATAATTATAATTATGATGATAATATAATCTCGGTGTGTTCTGAAGTGTCATTCATTCACACTGTTCTCGGTCTGAACTCTGGGAATATGACACATTATATAACCTATTAAACATTTCAAGCGCACTCTCCAGGATATCACTTATAACCAGGGTACAGATTTAACTAGCTTCCGATAAATATATCTCAATGGGCATAAAAGTATTTTGAGTAGTTTTTACATTTCTTTTTACTAAATATTATTTTAAGTTATTATTTTTCTAAATGTAATTTTATTATTATTCATTCAAATGAATGATCATTTCTACTTCAAATGCTGAATTTTCTATGCATCAAAAACAAAAAAAAACTGTTTTCATAATAGATAATAATAAGAAATGTTTTTTGAGCAGCAATTTAAAATATGTGACCTGTCTTAAGTCGCTGGGGTATATTTGTAGCAATAGCCAAAAATACATTGTATGGGTCAAAATTATTGATTTTTGAAGTAAAGATCATGTTCCATGAAGATATTTTGTAAATTTCCTACTGTAAATATATCAAAACTTAATTTTTGATTAGTAATATGCATTGCTAAGAACTTAATTTGGACAACTTTAAAGGCGATTTTCTCAATATTTTGATTTTTTTTGCACCCTTAGATTCCAGATATTCAAATAGTTGTATCTCGACCAAATATTGTCCTATCCTAACAAACCATACATCAATGGAAAGCTTATTTATTGTATAAATGTATGTATAAATCTCAATTTCCAAAAAACTTGACACTTATGACTGGTTTTGTGGTCCAGGGTCACATATTAGAATGATTTCTGAAGGATCATGTGAGTAATGATGCTGAAAATGTATTAAGCTTATGCATCACAGCAATAAATGTCTATAATGTAAAAAATATTATATTACTATAATCTAAAATATCTCATTTTAAATATATATTTTAAAAAAAAGGGGGGGGAAAGGAGAAAACATTTTGAATTGTAAGAATATTTCACAATATTACTGTTTTTATTTTTGATCAAGCACAAATCATTTGTGCGTCACAAATACCTAGTGAGTCATTTTATTTCATGTACTTTTTAAAGGTAGTTTTTGGTGCTTGTTAACTGCTCATTTGAGATTTTGGCTATAAAGAAGCAGTGTATTGCAGTAAAGTATGTGAGAGTCTGATTCATTGTTTGAATCACCTGTTGAAACTCAGGAATCAGGTATGTTAGATAAACACAGATGAGATTAGGCCCCGTCCACACGGAGACGCGTTTAGCTGTATACGCATACATTTTGTATCGTATAGGCGTTTCGTCCACACGGATCCGGCGTTTTGACCCCTTTAATTTACAAGCTTCCTTACAAACGGGTGCATAGTTATTATTATCATTATTATAATTGTTATTTACTCTTACAGTTACGTGATGCGTTTCTGGTCTCAAATTGTAGCTTTTTACTTCTTACAGTTTATAAATGTGTGAATTTCTGTCATGATGGTTCTTTTCCATAACACTGAATGTTGTAACAAAGGTAATAAAGAGTTGCTTATTATTATTAAGTCTCTTTCCGGCTCAGACTGCATTGGTTAAGCTTATGGGGCTGTCACGTGATGAACGAACGACTCGAAACAGGTGAACTACTTGACTAAACCCAGTACAGAACCTATAGGATGTTGCGCATGCGCGACTGAACGAATCACTCCCACGAGACGACTCGTTCTTCAAGAACGACCCAACACTAATGTATACTACATCGTTTTGTGTCGGTTTCGTGTGGACGCAGATATTTCTTGAGACAAGGAGAAAAAAAAGATCGGATAGGGAAGTGGACGTAGCCTTTAGAGCAAGAGGGGAAACGAGCGCTGGTGAAAGTGACAGAAGAGTGCAGGAGGTGTGAATCTCCCACACACACGACACGCATGCCGTCACCTGGCAGTGTCACTGTTGTTTTGAAGTGTTTTAATAGTTGTCTCACTGCAGCAGTGAAAAGCCTTTGTGCCTTTGGGGCAGCAGTGGGCTGAAGGGAATATCTACTGCACATACACAGGAGGAGACTTACGCAATCAGGCCTCTGAATCACTGCTGATCACGGCCTTGACTGCAAACAGAGCAGATCTCCTTGTACAATGTTGTTACTCTTCATTTGATCTGTCACTTCCCTGCGCATTATATAAAGGGTTTCCTTTCCCTACAAAACAGTGTTGTTATTCTTAATTACATTATTAAAAATGTTTTTGTTGTTGTTGTTAATTTAAATAAAGCTTAAAATAAAAATTAATATACATATTAGATCAACTTAAAGTTTAAGCTTTAGTACTAAAGTTACTAAAACTGAAATAAAAAAATGAAAGATAAATAGAATAAAACAAATAAAAATTACAAAAGCTCACAACAAAATTACTAAAGTGTTAACTAAAATTGAAATACAAAAACAAAATGAATGCTAATTCAAAATATGAATAAATACTATAATAATACTGTATAAAAATACTAATAACATTGCTACAAAATTTCTCACTTGATGCTCTTGCTAATTATTATTCTCTCATAATTCATTTTTAAAGTGGGTTTTATATTTATAGCAATAAGGCAGGACTATATTGATTACTAAAATTGAAATAAAATATAAATTAAAGCTAAAGACTGAGTAAAAATGACAAAAGCACATAACAAAATGACTATATAAACTAAAATGAAAATGTAAAATAAATGCTAATTCATAAATAATATAAGTGTACTATAAATTACACTAAAATAACATTGCTACAAAATATCTCCGATATTTATTCCGAACACTTACTAATTATTCTCTCATAATTCTTCTTTAATGTGGGTATAATAGTTATAGCACTAAGGCAGGACTATACCGATATTTTTTTTCTGGCATTCTGTTTTTCTTCAAATCAAATTTCAATTAATTCAGCCCTAATCGCTTAGCTGTGCTGTCTATTTTTGTAAGTTTTATACTTTAACAAATGTAAGATTAAATATTGAAAATCTCCCGTTGACTCAAAAATGTAAATCTTACAGGACTGTGATTGTAAAATTCTCTGATTGATTCATAATCGGCTGCCTTCACAGTCCAAAGACGGCGTCACAGAACCAAAGCTTGAAATCTAAACTTCTTTAAAACCTGAGCACTGTTCTGTTGCAACTTTGAAGTTACTGATATGTCTTTTATGAAATGTAACTCATTTGTTTGTTTGTTCCAGAACTCCATGAAGGTGATGTTTAAGTGTCTGTGGAAGAACTGTGAAAAAGTCCTCAGCACTTCCTCAGGGATCCAGCGCCACATCCGCACCATCCACCTGGGGTAAGCGTTTGGTCTGCAGTTTGAACATTTACAAGACTTCTACACAGAAACGAGACAGATCGGCTCTCTTCTTTAACTTTTCAAATGAAAGTTCCACTCGTTGCTTTTGGACTGGAGATGAATCTGAAGAGCCCAGATTGTCTGTCAGTCTCTACAGATGGGGCAGCTCAGTGAGCTCTTCCCTTTCTGTGCACCGTAACAGGAGATAAAGGGGAACCACATTCTGATGGAAGTAGTAAGAGTGTTTTAATAGCCTCTTGTTGCTACCTGACCATCCCATATAAACTCAATCCTCTGTTAATGTGCTGGCGCTGCTGCCCCCTGCTGGCCGCCTGTGGACGTGCACACGAATCTGACTTTTAGTGTTGTGTGTTTTCAGGCGAAATGGAGATTCTGACTACAGCGATGGCGAGGAGGATTTCTACTTCTCTGAAATCGAGGTGAACATGGACCCTCTTTCGGAGGGCCTGTCCAACCTCACGCCCACCTCTCCTACTACATCCGGCCCGGCCCCCGTCTTCCCCGTCTTGACTTGTGATGCGTCTCAATCTGAGCCCGCCCGCATGATCCACACCCCTCTCAGCCAATCAGCACCGTCGACGCTGTGCCATATCCGCACTGACCACGCTTACCAGGTAACATCACTCTGCATCTACACAGCTTCTGTTTTGGCTGTGTCTGTGTGCAGACAGTGGAGTGCTCGTATCATATTATGGGTATGAAGTCTTCATGGACACTTTTCAACAGTGCGTTTGTCAGTGTGTGTGTGTGTGTGTGTGTGTGTATGTGTGTGGGTGTGTGTTTTTACTTTGTAAACATCATATTCTTTCAAATCTCCCACGCAAGGCTCTGTTTTAGTCATTAATGCAACTCAAATCTCTCTCAATCAGTCAACAGAGCTTAAAGGGACAGAGTTGTGTTTCATGTCGTTCCAAACCTGTATGCATTTATTCATGAAGGTCATTCTATGACTTTGATGGAATGGAAAAAAGGGGAACCATCAACTGTTTGGTTACCAACATTTCTTCAAAATATCTTTTTTTTGTGTGTGTGTTCAGCAGAAGAAAGAAACTCATACAGGTTTGGAACAACATGAGGGTGACAGAAATCACATTTTTGTATGACTATAAACCCCAAATCAAAAGAAATAAGGTATTATATTTTGTATGGAGAAGCTAAATCCAATTTTAAGACCATTAAGACATTTTTGCATTTAACTTTTGTCATTATTGATTCACCCTCACGTCATTCCAAACTAACAAGACCTCATCTTTGAAAGACAAATAAGTCTCATCATTCCTTAAATCATTCATACGCAAACATTCATTCATATGCAACCATAATTTTAACAATGCAATGAAATCTAATCCATATGAAGTGGTTTAAGCCATGATCACTGCGCATAATGAATGGATTTCATATATAAAGCGTGCAAATTGTGGTTGTGTGGACTTGCTATGAATGGGCAAAATGAGAGAAAAAATAAGAGAATATTAAAAATATCTTCATATGTGTTTAAGAATGTCTTTTTAACTGCAATTCTCATTCTCATTGATTCTTATTAGATTTTCACTACTGTAACAAATTCATTTTTCTGTAGTACGGAACAAATACTGGAGTGATTTTTAAATTTAAAAAGTACAATTAAAGATATAGATTTAAATGTAAATGAAAGAAATTACTAACATAAGTATACTAAAGCATGAACAAATACTACCACGAAGTATAAATAGTTTACTATTTAAATAATATATAATTAGTTGCAATGAAAATGAAAGTTTTAGGATGTGCTCAAATGTTGAAGATAATATCAATTAAAAAAACTTTATGCTACTAAAAACTGCCTTCATTTTCTTAAAACTATAATGTCTTATATATACTACATCACACACACACACACACACACACACACACATATATATATATATATATATATATATATATAATTAATTATTATTAATTATAATTAGTAATATTATAACAAAAAAAATAATTATAAACAATTATTTTTATTATTTTGGTGTGATTATTTGACTTTCACATAAACCTCATTGAATTTTGTTGGATTTATGTTTAAAACAAGAAACTATTTGCCAGAAAGCTTAATTCAAATATATTTTTGCAAAATGAGACAATATCTTGGAAAATCTTGCAAGTGCACTTTTGTCTTGTTTTAAGGATGTTTAGATATTTTACTGAAGAGCAAGAATTTGCAGTCTGACTACATTTGGATTTTCTTGAGAAATTTAGTCCCAAATGGAATGAATGACCTTTCTGAAATCTTTCAAACGGCCAGAGATTTGTATACCTGACCTTTGCTAGTGCACCAGATTGACGGTTCTGTTGAATATCAAAGCCAGAGTGCTGCATACACATGTGTCTCTGTAATTGCTGGCGAAGTATTTATGGGTCTGCGTGATGAGGTCAGCGAAGGCCGTGATTTCAGGAGCCGGATCTGCCCTCTGCTGCTCAGACAGTCTGTGTTTAACCATTTCTAATGTGACTGAGGTCACTGGCTTGTCTTCGAGGCAGCTCTTCTTGGCTATCGGTGGGCGGTTGTACTTAACAGATTTTTCTCTTTCTCTCTCTGCTGGCTTTGCTAATACCGCTTCTTACACACACTGTGTTTTTCAGGCTACAAGCCCTGTCAGCATTCCCAGCATGCCCTCTGATCCGCCTCACAGTGAGGATAGGATTAGCGTATCCTGGCAGTCGCCCCCTGTCATATATAAAGGGCTACCGGTGAGATGGCTACTTCTTTCTTTCTTGTTTTCTTCCTCTCAGAGACGTATTCGACAGCGTTTGTCACCTTGTAAAAGCCTGGGCTCACTAAATGTCGAAAAGGGCAATGATCCCGTGAGCCCGCTTGAGTCTCGTTTGTCACTCCCAGCTCGTCTTTCTCTGTCTCTTGGGGTCTTTCAGAAGTTGCACTTGCATGACTTTTGGTTTCCTGTCTCAGATGCTTTTGCAAAACAATGAAAGTAGCTTCCAAACCCTGGTTACAGGTTGACAACAAAGGAACTGCAGACATCTGCGGAGTGCCTGTCAAAAAGACGCAGTTTATTATGAACTAGTTAAGAGTACAGACTGTGATCAGGAAAGTGCTGTTGGCGGTGTTTGCTAGGAAAGTATCACTGTTATTATTATTATTTTGCCTTGGAAAGTAGCTGTGAAAATGTATCACTTAGAAATCAGCCAGAACACCCTAGCAACCACCTGGATGCCCTAGCAACTGCATAACGACTTCATAGCAACCACCCACAATACACTAACATTGTTTTGTACTTACATTTTTATTTTTTTTTTTGCAGAAAATGTATAAATCACAGTATTTTTCTATTATAGAATAATATAATATAATGGTGTGAAATCAGGCATAAAAACACAATAAAATATGACCAACAACAATTACTTTTATAACTACTTGTGATAAATATACACACTATACTATTCCAAAGTTTGGAGTCAAGTTTTTTTTTTCTTTCTTTCTTTTTTAATACTTTTATTCAGCAGAGATTAACTGAGTTACTCAAAAGTGACAGTAAAGACCTTTATAATGTTACAAAAGACTTATAAATGCTGTTCTTTTGAACTTTCTATTCATCAAATAATCCTGAAAAACATACCACAAAAAAATATGAATCAGAAATATTTCTTGATCATCAAATCTTAATATTAGAATGCTTTCTGAAGGATCGTGTGACACTGAAGACTGGAGTAATGATGCTGAAAAACACAAATAAAATGTAAGATTTAGAATATCTAAAAATAGAATACAGCTATTTTAAATTGTGATAATATTTCAAAATATTTATATTTTTACTGCATTTTTGATCAAATAAGCGCAGCTTTGATGAGCATAAGAGACTTCTTTCAAAGACATAAAATCGTACTTGACTCCAAACTTTTGATTGGTTTAAGTGTTAAATGAGATGCAAACATGTCTTCAGTTTTGTGTCAAGGTAATGGTTGAGCGTTTTGTTAGATCACCTTTAACATGAAATGCTTTTGCAGGGCCCGATGACTCAAATCCGCACTGTTAGCATCGGGGAGAAGAGACAGCCTGTTAACCACACCACTGTCAGCAAAACACACACCAACACCACCTCCACCTCCACTTCCAAACCCACTACTGGAACCAGGTAAGCTGTCCAGATGGTTTCTCTTTTATGTTTTATGATGTTTTTGAAGCCGTTAAAACTATGTGAAATACGTTCCCAGGAAACCGCGTGGCGAAGCCAAGAAGTGCCGAAAGGTGTACGGCATGGAGAAGAGGGACCTGTGGTGCACAGCGTGCCGCTGGAAGAAGGCCTGCCAGCGCTTCACTGACTGAGCTTGATCCTTTACCCCACTTCAAAACGTGCTCTTTTATTGCGGCTGTTCCACAGACTGAGCGCCGGTGTCCCCTGCACACTCTCAGAGTGAACTTCATGAGCTGAGATGGTGGCCTTTTTAATGTAACTGATTCCTCCAGGCCACAAGGGGTGCGCTTATCCTACCGCTTCCATGGTGGAACACTGAGACTTTCATTCAGGAAAAAAAAAACCTGATAAAAAGCAAAAAAAAAAGAGAAAAAGAATTTAGAAAAAAAAAGCTTTTGCTGCATTGCATATTAAGGCAAAAATATTTTTTCATCCATAATCCAGAAACAAAACATTCAAAGCTAATTTTTCATGTTTTGTGTGCATTCTGTGGAATACAGCTAACGGCTTTCCATGATTTTTAGTGTGGCAGACTTTATACATAGCAGTTTTTACTGTCTGTTTAAAAACTCTGTAAGCTATTTTTGATGGGTATTATTGAGTACCTTAAACCCTCTTAAACCTGGTTGCACTTACCGAGCAACTCAAATTCATTTATATGGACATCATTTAAGCTTCACACAGCTTGATTTTGTTCAAAATCAAACCGATTCTGGACTTACCGCTTCATTTTGCACTTTTTTGCGGCCATTTCTATTTTGATCAAGCAGAGTTCAGTTTAGCATTGCATCCCAAAGCGTTTTAGCAAATAGTCAAGAACTGTTTCAACACACATTGCTAAAGTAATACCTCTAAACAAGAATGAGCCTTTCGGAGAGAGCCTTTAGTGTACTTCAGCGCGAGGAGTTGTAGTGCAGGAATGTAAACTGGCCTCTCTCTGCGCTAACGTACCCAAACTATTCTGTCCCTCACAGATCAACTGCCTCTTCATAAGCTATGAGGTTTATTCCTGTCAGTCCACAGTATTAATTCAATGGCAGGCACTTTAACCGGCCACACTTCAGATTTAACAGACAATCTGCTGTCGAGGGAAGTCATCCCAGTCTAATGTGATCCATAAATCGAGTGTTTTCAGCACAAACACGCCTTCCCACATAACACAGCGAATCCAGGCCGCATTACGCTTCCTAAGGAATTATTTGCTTCTCATTCAGCATATGGATATTATTCGCGTAAAGGAAACGTTTGCTCTGATAACGTGTAGAAGTTTTCCACTGTGCTTTCTTTTCATATCGAGGTGATCGTGTGATGACGACACGCGGCTGGTGTGCACTGTGCTATCTGACCCTCTCCATATAAGCCAAGCAGCTCTGAGCTCTTACACTGCAAAATATGATTTCTTGTGTATTTTTGTCTTATATATATATATATATATATATATACAAATATCTAAACATTCTTCAATCAAGATGCATCTACTTGAGAATGAAAATTACTTGTTTTATGAAAAGAAAAGTATCAAAATTAAGTGGGTTTATGCTTAAAACAAGAAAGTTTTAAATTAAGTACACTTTTCTTAGAACACTGACAGATTATTTTTTCTTGTTTTAAGCATAAACTCACTTTTTTATATGTTTTCAGAAAACAGGACATAATATCCAAGTAAATGTATCGTGATTTAAGAATGTTTGAATATTTGTACTGGAAAACAAGAATGTTTTTTTTTTTTGCAGTGAACCTTTTAAACACTGACAGTCATTGGACATTTGAATGTGAATCTTAAAGGGACAGTTCACCCCAAAATAAACTGTCATCATTTACTCACCCTCATGTCATTTCAAGTCTATTTGACTTGTGTGAAACATGGAAATTTTTATTTTTTATTTTTTGTCTATACAATTGAAGTTAAAAGGGGCTACAAACAACATTGGACCCCATTGGCTTTCATTGTGTGGACAAAAATACCAGAGATGGTGAGACATTTTTCAAAATATCTTCTTTTAGATATTTAGATTAAAAAAAAAGAAGAAAAGTCATACAGTTATGTATGACATCCATCAAGGAATGATGAGAATTTTTTGAATTAACTATCCCTTTAGTTCCAAAATGCAATTTTTCTTTTACATTTATTATTCTTGGGGTGAATAATTCCTCAAAAAATAAACTCTAATTCCAACCCAAATAAAATATTTGACATTATGTTTTACCTTCCAGGTATAGGAATGAAATCATGTTTCAGCTTTCATCAGACCGACCAAAACTGGCAATCATAATGTAGCTCTCACAAAATGTAGCAGTTTAACCATTAATGATGGGAATCAAAGAAACAATTGAGCAGGTGCGTAATTGCCAAATGACCGAATTTATCAAAATATATTGACAGCTTAGAGCAGCTTTGTCTTCTCTTTCCCAGAAAGGAAAGAGCATCCCGCTCATGATCATAACTTTCACTAAGTGCCAATGAGAAGAACAAGAGGGAAAAAATACAATTGCACTAACTTGTACTGCACAAAACGTATATTTTTATGTACCATTTTTTAACGCAGAAATGGAAGTTTTTAAAAAGCAAATGGTTATCTGGCGACCGACTGCCGTGATTCTCTCATCGGGTCAGGGATGGGGTCAATTCGCTGACCCTGCAACTATAAGCTTACGAGGTGGTACTTTGTGGCGTTGTGTTGGTTTGGGCCTCGCAGTACATGACATCGGTCATGTGACTGCAGGTGACTATCATTCAGGCTCGTTTCTATTGAACGTCACTGTCTTGATTTCTAATAAAGTTTCCTATGTTCAACATTGTGTTTTTCTTCATAGGAAAAGAGTCATGGGAAGATTTGGATTTTAGGCATCAAAAATCAGGTGGTCAGACAGTGTCGCTTTAAATACGTTTATCAATTTCATGGCTCTGATAATGATATAAAGTCCATACGAGGATGCCTTATTGTTTTGAAAGTTCACTGTAGTGAATATAACGTGTATATATTCATTGTATATTTTGGGCTGAGGGGAAACGGGGGGGGGAAAGAAGCATCAACGAATGTAAAATCTACTTAATGAAACGCCTGTAATCTGAGTTCGTTTTATCGGCTGTCTCACACAAGTTTCTTTTATTTTCTTTCATATCAAGTAGTTAGAACCACGCAGTGTTTTTCTTTAGTTTTCATTTTCAGTTGACGCTTGCATTGATGCATTTTGATTGTTATGTGGATAAGCGAGTGTGTACATCATGAAGTATGTACTATTGTGTGGCAGGAGAGACGTTACTATGTGGATCATTGCGTCATTCTGCCCTGCACATTCCGATAGATGATTTTACATTAGTTAGTTTGAGCCTTTGTCTATCTGTTCCCCGTTAAACTAACTTCACTGACTGCCTGTTGCTTTTCAGCCAGGATATTAAGCAATACAGCCAAGAAAATGTGTAGAGACTCCACTTTCTTTCTTTGTAACATTTTGGAATGTTTCCGTGTTCAAAAGCATCTTCATGATAATCCCACTATTCAATACAGATTTAACCATCATACGATTCTTTTTTCAGAACAACTCTTTTGGCCTTGTTTTACTGTTGAGGTCTTGTAACTTCGTCAAACGTTTCTTTTTTTCTTTTCATTGTTCTTCATTGGTTGAAATTTGATGCATGTCTTGTATCATCTTTGTACTATCTTGCTTTATTGGAACCAGTTTTTCAGAAGTTGAGAGTGACGTGTCCAGAGTTGAGTGAATGAACGAGAGGATGGAGGTGTTTCTGGTGTTGCCTTTGGTTGGTTGGTGATGAGAGTGTGATTTCTGTGGCTGTAATGTGGAGATTGAAATAAACATGGATTTCAGAATGATGTTTGATTGGAGTTAGATTTCTTCTTCTTTTTTATGTCTATTAGTGCAGGTAGAAAATAATCTCCAGTAGATTTTCCTAGAATATCTTTTTACATTTCATTGAAATTACATAATGTTTCCACAGTTAATATACACTACCGTTCACAAGTTTGGTGTTTGGGTCGCATTTAATTCATCAAAAATACAGTAAAAACAGTAATATTGTACAGCAGTATTAAAATGAATATCTAAATAAAGTAAGTTTTCTATTTATTTTTAAATACTTTTAACGGGATTTATTCCTGTGACGTAAAGCTAGATTTTGTCATTACTCCAGTCTTAAGTGTCACATGATCCTTCAGAAATCATTCTAATATACTGATTTGGTGCTTAATTATGTATATCAACACTAATCATGATCATAATCATTTAATGATTAATGCTTGGCCATGGATGTTGGCTACCATGGAACCATGTTACCAATGTAGTTTAATAAAATCGGTTACCAATTAAAGTAGCTAAAAAAAGGAAACGTCTATTTTATAAAACCTCAATGGCTACTTCTCACACAGATCAGATTACTCGAACTGTAGGGGATATTCACACACTAAACCTTTGATAAAACAGATGCCAGGTGAAAAATTAATCACAGGGATGATGATTTCCCGTGACGTCAGCCGTATGGCATCCTCCTCCGGTCCAGTAGGTGGTGCTGTAGTTCAGACCAGCAGTGGGTTGTCCAGTACTGCTACTCCTGCAGCCACCCCCCATCAGCATGCTCTGAGCTCTTGGTCCTCAGCAGGTGGCCCACGCACTCATTAAACACCATGTCTTTGCCTTTCCTGTGTGTGAAAATGGTGCATTTGTTTGCTGTAACACAGTCGATTTTAAGATGTTTGTAAAATAAAAGCAGAGATTTTGTTGAAGAGCTGCTAACAATGATCCCACCTGACATACGCTCCAAATACGCCCAGCTCACTTAGACAGGAGTTCAGTTTCAGAGTAGCTCCGGGCCTGAGCAGGTAGTTCTGGACCGGGACGGGCTGGATCTTGTCCATCAGGATGTAAGCCATCCTCTCAGTGGAGTTCTTCAGGTTCTCCAGCACTTCACAGATCTCACTGTCATAAATGTTGTTACCTGTGGCATACAGTAGGAAATCTTTGAGCAAGTGTTTGTAACGTATATGTGTGAACACAACACAGGACTTGACGTGTGACTACCCACCACCTCCCTCCTTCTGAGATTTCAGCACATACTGATCAGGATTGGCCAAAGCCACTGCTACTGTTTTATCACCTTCTCCCTGTGGAAAGACAGATTGACCATTTAAAATTCATTTCAAAAAAGTTAAAAAAAAAAGATATATAGATATACACACACTGTTTAGTAGTTTCAACAGCGGGGCTCAATCCTGCTTATGATGTTCAGCCTTTCTGAAAGTATAGTGTCCTACCAAGGTTATCATACAATAAAACTAAAATGAAAAAAATTTTTTTAAATGAAAATGGAACCAAGAAATAATTCTAATAAAATAATAATTAGCAAAATATATAATTTTCATGTGCTCTCTATGCTA